CATAACATCTAATTTCCTAAAGGTATACATATTATTTTATATACCTACAGTTGTATCTTTCTTGTATTTGTTGTGTATACAAAATGTCTTGATTCATTCTATCTTCAATTAGAATTTATCAAGAGAAGATCTTCAATTAAAATTCAACATATAGGTTACTGTAAAATAGTAATATGCAGATTATTTTTATCAAAATCTTTGTGTGTTTCAGTGTGAGGTTGGAAATTTTACTACAACAGGAACAGGACCTAATAAAAAGACAGCCAAGAGGAATGCTGCTGATGCTATGCTGCAGCTAATGGGGTACTCTCGTCCCCAACCAGGAAAATCAGCAATCAAAGCTACTACCCCAAGAATTGAGGTTGTAAATGCAATTTTGGGTTGAGTAAAATATAACACTTATTGTTATAACTGATCTTACTGTCCAATTTTGTTTTAGGCATTATATAGCATTGAAACAGTAATTATTTGCCCATTGTACTAGTTTGTTGATTTTTACCGATAGGTACATTTATTATTTCTTTACATCATTTACAATATATTATTTTAGCATTTAAAAACAAACAAACACTTGTACATCATGCTTAATAACTTATGATTTTAATTATTGGCAAAAACTGTGTGATATACATTATTAAAGTTTCAGCAAGCATGTAAAATTCTATGAATGAACTTAGGGATTAGTAAAAGAAAACATGTTTGAAATATGTTACTTTTTTTTTTATTTCGGTAGGGACATTATTTTACTATGGACATTTACAGTACTGTAGAGGATTTTCATGCATTTTTATGCTATAAGTTAAAAGATTAAAATAAAAAAGTATTTGTATGCATGAAATTTCTTTTAGTCGGGAACACTGTCTTTGATAATATGCAATGTTGTTTAAAACGTAATCCTCTCTAGAAGTAGATGAAAAATAGTAAACTGTAGCAATTCAAGTGTTCTGTGTATTACACAAATCTGTGCTTTGCAATCCCTCATGAGATTTGAGTTTTGAATAAACATAATATATTTCATTCTTAAATTTAAATCACAATTTTTTGTGCATTCCAGTCACTTTGAAATTATTGTTGTATATTTTATTCAAGGATGGACACGTGTATTCAGGTCAGGAGGTAGAGAAAACAAGAAAAGTTAAATTTCTAGAATTTGAAGGTGAGTGTTTGAAGATAGTGTATCACTTTGGTTTTGGTTTTCTTAAGGTTAATGTATTTTCAGGGCTGTTTGCCAATTTTTCATCATAACTTGCAGTGCAATATTTGTATCCACAGAAAGATTGAGAATTATTTTAGCCATTAAAAATGCCTATTATATCTTAGTGTCTTTCATATAGTTCAAAATGATGCAGAATCAACAGAAAGAAGGTAGGATAAAAAAAATAATAGTAATCATAATAAGCCAGTTACCTTTCCTTCATTATTTACCACTGTTGACAGAAAGTTCCCTTTCTGAAAGCAATATTGTTTTTTATCTTATCTCAGTATTTTGATATTTATGAAATTCCTAACACACTTCACCACTGTAATGATGGTTTACCTAGGCATGTGTTGTGGTTAATGAATTTATCACCTATTTGACATTCAAAATGTTTTCCCAGGTATTTACAAGTTTAAACACAGACCTGTTCTGTTTTGTACTAACAACATTTATTTGGTTACTTAAAATTTCAAAATGTTTTGGTAATGAAAAATAAACTTAGTTTACAGTACACAATTTGTTAAACTCAATCCAATCATAGGCCACTGTACAGTTAAATAAGTCTGTGTAGTCACCATGGTATAGCAAGAGTTAAATAGTGATAATTAATTTTATTTTTCTTATAACCAACTGTTAAGAGTGCCATTTAACATGGTATTATGCATTTGATGTCAGAGTTATTACCACTTCGTGTTACCCTACATTGCTGCTTTTGCAACAGCTCATGTTAGAGTAGAGAAAATAACAGATACAGTATACAGAAATACTGAAAAACCTTTTATATATGCACTTATGAAGCTGTAAAGGTTGTGTAAATGCAACTTGCAAACTGCATTGGACAAAAATATGTTTATTCTTTACATGAACATTAGTTTACACTTTGACTTGTCAGATATATTTTTAGTTTGAAAAACTTTAGTAATACATTTGATATTTTGTGTACAAGTCTTTTACTCTTGACTGAAAGATTGCCACATTTTATGAAGATACACTTCATAAATTTAAAAATTAAAATTATAGTCAACACATTAATTCTCCAATGGATTGACCCTGTGCACATTCAGTTAAGTAAGATTATGTGAATGGATAGATAGATAGATATAAATGGTATTTCCCAATTAACAAAAACTTTTAGTCTATAGCCTTTTCCATCTTTCTGATTGCTTTGTAGCTATCAAGAGGAAGAAATATTTTATGTAATTTGTTTTAATATCTCACATTAATGAAAAGTTGAGTATTTTAGTTAGTTTGAAATTATTTCTTATAAAGTACCAAAATAATTCATAGAAGGTGTAATATAAACCTAACATAAGATTATATTATTTATCCCTCTCACTACAGGTAGGTCAAAGAGCGTGTCATGACCTTTTACAGAGTTACATTCAAAATTTAATTAAGCTACTTTATTATCAATATAACAGAATAAACTTGACATCCAATTTAGTGTACTAGTACCATCATTATTTAAAAAAAGAAAAAGTAGGCTTAAATTTCATCGACTACTGACAGGAAAAAACTGGGTGAAAGATAAGTATTATACTTTTTGTTTTTGATGTATATTTTTCTTTATTCTTATAAAAGTAACTAAAATCTACAAATTAGAAATTTATTAGGTTAGATTAGTTAAGATAATTAAAAGTAATAGTAATAAAACTTCTTCAGTTAATACTAAATATTGGTGCTGATCATGCCAGCTTGATTACATCGTCCAAAATTATTTTGATATTAAATTTGTGATAGTCACATGAGACACTGTTTATTTATTAATAATTCTTTATATATATATATATATATATATATACACACACACACACACACACACACACACACACACACACACACACACACACAC